ACAATTAGCAGTCGTATGTTATGACGATATGGGTGAGAGTTGGTATGGCCTCCAGCGTGGCTCCTCAATTATTTGGCAGGCTTTATAGTAGTATAAGATATCACGTCATCACGAACGAGGTGCCCCAAAGCTAGTCTGGTCATTTCTCCCCAGCAGTTTCCACGGGTTTCTGGAGCCAAGCGGCACAAACACGAATAGCGCGTCACCTTAGCGTCGTTCTTCCCAGGGGCAGCTCCGTTGTGCAGCATTGCCCTCGCGTCCCAGAAGCAGCACAGCAGAGAGCCTTCTTGGAGCTGCATTGCCCTGCTGAGATGGGTCCTCTCTTCGAGCGAATTACACGCGGGCTGTGAATAGAGATCATTAGAGAACCTGTCTCCCACCCCACTAAGCAGTCTTCCCAGAAACTCCTTCTGATGACGGAGGAGAGGGGAGATTGACTGGTATTCGGATGTATCGCGTGTCACCGTCAAAGTGTGAGCAATCTATTGCGCCTGTACTTTTCGACAACCGAGGGCTTTCAGGCGGTTGCGACTGTCAGTTAGTTAGACCTGAGTCTTGTCGTAAGACTGCGGGTGGTAGCCTCCAGATCCTCTTTGACAGCTTCGAGAACGGTGGAGTCTTCCAATTCGTGGGGCGTCCCGACCGAGTTTGCCTTCAAAGATAGTGTCTCTTTTTTCGCGGAGCAACTGCGAACCAGCGGCTGAATTCTGATGGATGGTGTCCTTCAACAATGCGTTGCTGATGTTGCGAACAGCTGCCGCCGCTCCAGTGCCACGGCGCCACCATAGAAGATGATGACTCGAAGATGCTCCAGTGAAACTGACATTGTAATTAAACCCAGGGAAGAGCGTGCGTCTTTGGATGCCCTTTGCGAAAATAAAGCCTCAAAAACTGTTCGAAGCATAGCATGTCACGTCTTCAGCCATGAATAATCGAAATCTTTAAGCTATTCAAAAAACCCTGACAGAACTTTCTTCCCAGCTTGATCTATGAACCAATTAAAGACGAGCAAAATTTTCTGTCCTCTTCTGGAGATCTCACATCAATTTCCATTATTGTGCCTCCTACGAAAACCTGATGCGATCGCTATTCCTCTTCCTCTCTCCCCCCTCCATCGCCCTTACCATTGGCGAGGGATAGTGCTGCACGTAAGAGACACCCCCACCGCAGCCTCTCCGCCGCGAACCGAATCTCTAATCAGCTCCCGTGCAGGCCGTTCAAGTCTTTCATCTCTTTGGGGTAGGGTGACTGGCACTAGATTCGTCTATGTCGTTATGAGCACTGATTTTCGCACATTTTTCTTGAACGCCATTCTCTAGACCAAATTACGCTATAAATACCGCTACGATTCCGAATGGATGTAGAGTGCGTGGCACATATCAATTTTTTCGTCTCCTTTTTTCATTCATGTTAAAAATATCTTCCGAGGGCAAAAATGCAACTTGGGTGCGAAAAATACGATTACCAACGATTTCGTCCCCTACACATGTAAAAAGTGTGTCGGATCAAAAAGCAGGAGACGTTAATAGCGAATGAGAATACTGCAGAAAAATAAGGGCTGAGTTTATGGGGAATGCGCTATGTTCTCGACATTAGCTTAGAATTGCGGCATGTTCGAGTGCATTATGCAACATACATTGCCTTACAGTGGTGGCCGATGTAAGGACTGATCATTCCGTGCCCCCTCCCATGAAATGTGGTACAAAATAATCAAACCGGAATATTGGTGGATTCGACTCTATGGGCTTGTTGGGTCTCAAAAGCACCAACAAGGAGGTGCACCAACAAGCGGGAAGCCCAGTGGTCGGCCTGACTACCGCAGGGTGGACTGTGCTTATTTTTCGCACTTGCTTGTTTCAAAAACCTCCCCAACAATTCTGCCCAAAGGTCTATAAATACTCAATATCAATGCAAAGTGTACTGAAACTTTCAACTCCAATTTTCTCACTACAAACTGTAGAAAATGAAACAAGGAATAAGTTTGACATACGCGATCAGTCTGAAATTTCGACAGAAACGAATTAAAAACTCCCACCGCACGCACCTGCAATCCTCCTCATCGTATTACCATTGTTGATCGTCCCAGCTCCATTCATGTTATTCATCCCGTTCATTCCATTCATACCGTTCATGCCATTCATCCCATACATTCCACTCCATGGTCCGTAACCCATTCCTGCACCCATTCCTCCACCCATTGTGTACGGGTTTGCGCCTGTGGGAGCGTCTGTACATGGAATGGGAATCGAAAATTGGATATTAAACTACATGATCTAAGTGTTCGGATCGGCGATAGGGATGGACTAGCTTGGACCTACCGTATGCCATCATACCAAAAGGAGATGCTCCATACATTCCTCCAGCTCCTCCAAAGGGGCTCATTCCATACTGGCCCATCATCATATTGTAGGGGTAACCTGGAAAAGAATCATTCAGTAGTTGTCCTCAAATACAGTCCAGTTTTACTGTCGCTCACCTGCCATTCCTCCCATACCCATACCGTACATACCGTAACCTCCATAGCCATAGTATTGACAGCCGGCAACAGATACATATATTGTAAGCAGTGTGAGTAGAATCATTTTTGGTGAGTAAACCTTGTCGATAGCCTTACCTCCTTTTATAGGTATCCCACTAGTGTCAACATTGCATCAATGCAGAATGAATGAGCATCGCACTACGTTCAAGAGCTCACGACCTCCCAGCGGCGGGACAAACCTAACTCGAACCCATGGTTATTCCAGACTAGGGCATTATCGAATGGGACATTCAGAATTCACGTCATAATGACGCTATCTTTAGTTGTCTTTTTTAGGAAGAGTTTTACTACTTCGAAGTCCGATTTGGATAGAAAGCAGAAATGTGGGAGATGCAGAACTAAAAGACTTCTTGACTATGTGATTTATTTGTTACCAGTTTCGCTGACGCGCACTTACTCGCGCATGGTTCAGCCCATGCCTGTTGCGAGTGATGTATTCGGTGACCCTCCATTAAAGGCCCCTTTGTGAAGGCCCTTTTAGCTTACGCTGTTATCACTTCCTGCCACATCTAATGTTTCTGACTGACCTCCTACATCTCCTATCAATGAACTCTGTACGGCTCATCTGAAGGGAGTTATGAAATTCTGGTCAAAAGCACACATAGCAACAGACAAATTTAGCGAATGATATATGGTAGGATTTTTATGGAGTGTACAGTATTTTCGAGAGGTTTTGTGGTCTAAGGAATATTGTTGACGTCAAAATAATGAAGGGGAAGGGTACGGTCTACCGATAAAATCGGGTTACAAAAGAATGGAAGTGCCCACTATTCCTCCTACTCCTCGAAATACGCTTGAGCCTGTAATCCTTAATTGTGCTACCATTCCTTCTAAATGCCCTTCATATGATTCATCCCGTTCATTCCAGTCATACCTGCTATTCCATTCACATCCCTATTGATTTTCCGCCTACCCTAGCTTTTCGAAATATGAAGAGCGCTCCAGTGCGAAACTTTCTCACATGCGAGGGCAAGGTGTTTAAGGCTTTTTTGTGAAGTTTTTTTTTGACTTGTATTTCGAATTCACTCGAGTTTCATGAGATGTTGCCCAGACGGTGCAGGATTAATACTTCCCTAGCAGGACAAAATTTCGGCGGCGCCTTGAGCAGGTGCTACAGTAACACTAGCGGCGTCTACGTGGCGCCTTATAAGAGGTTACCTTCCCGTTTCCCCGCAGGACCACAACACAACACAACATAACGCGACTTGCGCCCACGCACGCTCGTCCCGTCCACAAATGGAGCAAACCGATACTGCCTGTATCGCTTCAGGTTCTGGCGAAAAGTATCGACATGAAGCAATAGGATTGATATTGAAGCGCCCTTTTGGGGCAGTGGATGGGACTTGGCCGAGTACATACGTGCAGAACGTATCTACGCGTAGCACTATCGACACGATGCCAACGGAGAACTCGTGCGAAATTGCTTTCTGAGTAGTGTAGAACAAAGGCTTTTTGCAAGATTTGACAGTATCACTTCGCTTTTTGGCCGTTTTGCCACTGTTTAGCACTTCTGCTACCATTTTAGACTGAGCAAGGGAGGTCTTTCAGGTCGTGGCGCGCTTTTTGGAAATGGTTTGTTGCTTGTTGTAGAGTTCCATGGAAGGATCTTAAGAAATGGGTTTCATTTTTGCTATGCGTTTCTGGGGAGGTCAAAAATTGAGTGAAAATTTTGACAAGAATGGGCGATTTTAACTATCTTAATAGGCTCAATTCTGATTGTAACTCCGAGCATGCATAGTTTATGAGGTGTTCTTAAATTAGGCTTCGAAAATAATTTCAAATAAAGTCAAATTTAAATATCATGTAGTAACACACTTCGCATGCACTGACGCAAAAGTGATGTTTTTGTCAGCGGTCCCCTCAAGCTCACTGTCGGCGGATCGGACGGCGCAGCGGATAACTCGATGGATTCTGGATGGGACGACGATACGATACTTTATTTGAAACTATTTTCGGAGCCTAATTAACGAGCACCTCATAAACTATGCATGCTCGAAGTTACAATGAAAATGGAGCCAACTAAGATAGTTAAAATCGCCCATTCTTATCAAATTCTTTTCACTCAGTTTTTTTGACCTTGCCAGAAACGCATAGCAAAAATGAAACCCATTTTTAAGGTCCTTGTATGGACCCCTACAACAAGCAACAAACCATTTCCAAAAAGCGCGCCACGACCTGAAAGACCTCGCCTCTGTGAGTGCCAAGATTATCGGTGCCTTCAAACGCTGCACCATTTTCACTTATTGTAAACAATTGAGCACGAAGAGGATCAGCAAATAATCATTTATCACATGTATCAACGAGAAAAACACAAACTGTACACAAAATAGACGTCATATATTTTGAAAGGATTTTTTCGCCGATAATATCCGTGAATCTCGGCTATCACATCGAGTATACGTAGTTATCACCGAATGACATCGCCTAAATGCACCTGTGCTATCGAAAAAAAGGAGACACACTACGGCCCGTATTGAGAGCGATGCACGTACTTTTCTTCGCTCATTCCTCCACATCTTGCTCGAACTATGACAAGAAGCTTCTGGCGGAAATTGTCCGAACTCAAGCAAAATACAACGAAATTCAAACATTTGCCGATAATTACCATAAAACTGGTAATTACTTCCAAGTCGTACCTGAAAATAGTGGTCTTATCCAACGACATAACTTCAAATTGTTTGAAGGGTCTGCTTATATCGTAGAAAGCAAACATGTTCATGTCATTGTTGTCCACAGCCATAGAACCTCCTGAGCTCTCCACTAGTTAAGATCTCTTATGTTCCCTGACCTGGGTTTGGTCTTTGGTGGAAAGGGAGCTACATTTCGAAAATTTAAACTTACCAGTACTCTTCAAACTCTGATCAACCCACAGTCGACTCGCACAAAAATAAAAGCACCACGGCAGATGGAGCCTGAAAATGTTAACTCAGTCAGGTGAGTATGATTTTCTATTCGACAAGAATCTCTCGGCACCCTGGTGGGGAATTGGGGGGTGGGGGTTGAGGGGCAAATTAATTGTAATCAAATCCGTGTTCTTGAAGAAAAAAATAGTCTTATTACTTTCCATAAGTACTAATACTTAGTACTAGAAGAGCTACTCTTGCTTCAAGTTTCCTCTTAAGAAACAAATTCTATTCGTAGAAATAATTAAAGGCGCTGCTTGAAACTTATCACTATGCTACATATGGTCCCCAAGCACCATGTGGTATTTTGTAAGGAGTTACAGAACAATGGGAAAAGCAGAGAACCAGCTAGACAAAAAGAAATACGAGGAAAAGGGGGCCGGGAAGGAAGGAGTAAGAGAAAGGAAAGGCTACAGGCAAAGGAAAAGATGCAAAGGATCACAGACACCGCTGGGGGATGAGGTTCGTACAGCATCCTTGTGTGAAACGCATGGGGGGGGGTCGTACTTTTGCTCTGGGGAGATAGGGGGGTCGTATTTGGGTGAGACAAATTTATTTTGATAGTTGATTTGATTTTGTGGAAAAGTGGGGGTCGTATTAATTTTGTTTTATATGCCAGTTTTCTATATGCACGCCGTGGGTATAACCGTTGGCACAGATTAGTAATGTTTACTATGGGGGGGGGTCGTATGAGGCCCTGAAAGAAAAGGGGGGGGTCGTAAAAGCACCAAAATCCGCACATCGAATGCATGTAGCCCTGTCCTGCCGACGAAAAAGCCGTGGCGTAGGGGGGGGGGCGTACTCACACCGACATTTCGCACATCCCCATGCTGTGCCCTGGGTACAAACACTCTTCTGGATCCTCTTAACGCACCTAGGAATTATGCAGCACTCTGAAGCTTTCTCCTCAGCTACAAAGCGCTAACAGGTCTATGCATTATATACCGCCCAATTTTTTCAGGCCAGTTGGTAGCTTGGTAACTAAGAGTGCAAAGAAGCGTCGGTTTTAAGCCAGTGCTGTGGACTTTACGAATGGAGCTCCGTGATGACCGAAGTTAGTCCCGACATAAGCCTGTGCAGCATATTCTATTCGAAGTTTGTTGGTAACCGACGGATTCAACAGAACGCAGCAGGGGTTGTCCAGACACACTTGCAGGAGCTAAACAAGATGCACCCGCCACCCCCCCCCCCCTCTCACCCATAGCGGGATGGTGCCTGAGAACAAATTTCCAGGAACCTTTTGAAAGAGTTCCCAAGTAAACATTGAAGGCTTTTGCTCACTCCAATGCAAAAACGTGTTCACAGTTGTCCCGCCAACCCACCACCAATTTTGAAGAAATTATTTGGTATTGCTAAATCGTCCCTAGAAATTACCTGAGTAATTGTGAATGAAGTGACGACGGCACAAACAGTCACTGCCACTCGGTGCTCCATCTTTTGCTGAATCAACTGAAACAGGAAATTTTTGATTTCTCTTTCTCAGCAAGGTCCGTTAGAGGCCTAGGAGCCGGACGGCAGAGATTTTTGGACAACCGCGGCCAACCCACTAACCAGGGAACTCCGCCAAAGTTACCATGGAACTTTGAATGGAGACCTGGGTAGATCGATAGAGTCTATAAGGTTATTTACAAATATAGATAGCAAAACTGCAACCTGCAAAGATTTTTTTTCCCCCCAGACAAGCAACTTATGAGCAGGTAAAGTTTGTAATGGTGCAGTAGGGTGGAGGCTTGGTGGTGAGCTGTGAAGCATAAGCGAGGAATCGCATACGTCGAATCGAGTCGTCGAACGTCGAACCTTACCCATGAAAATGGGTGGTACGTGCACTGTGGGTTCCAGCGTCAGAACTACCTGTCGCGCTGGCACCTGGGTGCAAACGCCAGACATCTTTGATTTGAATGGATGTGATTGGTGGGGGGGGGGCAAAAAAACCTGTCTGGATTCGTACTCCTCTTTCTACCTTAGGAAAGAAAGTTTGATCACAATGTGGCCTGAATTTCGATAAATGGGCAATAAAAGGTAAACGGCGTTGAATCTACCGAAGACAAGGGCATGCTTCGAAAAACGCCGACTTACCGTCCTGCCTGTCATTGGTGAGCCTCTCAAAGCGGCGGAAATGCACAGTTCCTCAAAATGACCCCGTTCCCTGCCTCTATGGGTTTTGCCTTTAAGACAAGCTAGGAACTAGGCCGAAATGCTAACACATAAAAGCAGACTGAATAAACTATTTTCTGGATTGAAAAACCTATGTCTCCCTTATGTTCGGAACGAAAAGTTTTGCTCTGAATATACAATGGACCTATTCTGTAACAGGACTACTAAATGCAAAAACAACAGCCAGGTATAGTACCTGATGCGCTGTGCGTCGAAAAACAGTGTTCCTAAGACAAAGGGCAGCTTTGCATGAACGCCTCTCGTTGGCAATACGTTGTGTCATCTTTACTCAACGACCACATGGAAAGAAGAACGAATCGAAAATGAAAAGATGATTGACAATCAAGTGTTGAAGAATAGCCCCTAGTGTGGCTTAGGAGGGAGGAGGGGGTGGGGATGGGAGGCGCTCTTTTAGCTCGCTAGTTTCATTTACTAGTTCCTTTCAGCTTATACCTCTCAACCTTGATGAGACCTGCAGACTGACTCCTGTCAAATGTAGAGGACGATCGAACTATTGCCTAGCATTGCCAGGTTGAGAACTCTCCACAGGAGGCACCATCAAGTGCTGGTCGATGGGAATCAGCGAAGTTCCCCAACACCATAGTCCACGCTGATCGTGTGGAGAACAGACTATCCAAGTATTTCATTCTTTATGGGTGGCCGCCCTGCCTAAAAAGGTTAAAGAAGATGAGGGCGACCAGCGCAACAGCGGTGTAAAGTCCTAACTCCGCCCACACGATTAGCGTTCTTTTGAACGAGAGGTTCAAAGTGTTCTTTAACAATGCGTACCGTTTCTTAACGTAGTACATCAGCATCGTATTCAACACGACGAGGAACACCAGCGGTATTACGACCACCAATGCGACGTTGGCTGCTCGCATCCATTTCACGTACTGCCGCAAGAGATGAGGGAGGGATGGACGGAGTGTGGCTGTTTCGCAACTGCCACCTTTGAATTACACAAAAAATATAAAACGACCACCAAATCGATAGAGAACGGCAATAGGCAGATTTTGGAATTCAATGGTGGGCGTCCAGCATCTAAAGTATCCTCAAAAATTAAGTCGGTATTCCAGTGCCTGTTTAGCCTGCTTGCTGACTTAACCAAAACCGGCTTTCTTGGTACTGCATAGGATACTAGAATGATTAAGGCCAGGGCTGGCTCAGACCTTACCGTTGACCAGATCGCTGATTACTGTTAGGAATTTTTCTCTGCACTGATGTTCCTAAATAAAAAAGATTTCGCGACAGCGGCATGTGGGCGGAGAAATGGGGTGGAGAAATTACAACCTAAAGCTTCTCATTGGTGCGCAGCCACCCTGCCTCACGTCCTTTGGGTCGAAGAGAGGGCCAATGGTTGCATGTCTCCGCCCAACCCCTCCGCCTACTCCCTCATTGCTGAGCCAGCTTTTTAACCTATTCGGGAGAAGCAAAAAGCTTAATAAGCTCAGCAAAGAGCTGATGTAGATACCGATTCCCTGAATGAACAATGGTAGGGTCAGTGCCTTGCCCGCCCCTGCCCCCTCTCCACCGACCTCGCCTTACCTAAGCAGGTAGTAGAAGAAGTGAGTGTGCTAACAAGGCGGAATGTTCTCAGGAAAGCTCCAACATAAGCAGGGTAGCTTGTTAGGGTGAAATTCCAGACAAGGTGCAGTCTCTTTATCCGCGGATGATGGGGCGTGTCACTGTGGCTGGCTTTGGCGCGCCGCTAGTTCGTTTTCCACCAGTTGTTGAAGCGGATTACTTGTTTGAAAACGAATTATTACGAAGGCGAATGTTTGCATTGGCGCCTGATCACTTCAACATCGCCTTTGAGCGGTTGAGCGCCCGCGCCAAATCCCCGTTCTCAACTGTCTTGGACGTCCGCCTTTTCTTCACCTATCCTTTTAGTTTATTCTTGTTTACTAACTATAGAGCTTCGCAACAGGTAATCTTTTCAACAAAATCAACCTCTGTAAGTGATAGAAATCAATGATTCGACCCATACCCATGGCTAGTAATGTCAACGCATTTCGCGATCCATTGAGTGTCGTGGCAGAAGACTTTCATGAAACATTGCTGTGACACATGATAATAGCATGTGAGTGCTGCACAAGCTGACAACAGCAGCAACAACCCTGAAAAATTGGAAATCAACGCCAAGAGAAAAGGATTTTCGGTAACGCATCAGTCCCGCTCTTCCCCGAGCCAACCACCAGTTTCCTTTTTGTGTGCCCTTCCCCCTGAAACAAGCAGGCACAAAGGAAAGTGCGCACTCTTCTCCAGGAAGTGGCTTTTTCAACATATCTATTTCCGTGAAGCAGGATTGTAGACGAAATTAGGAAAATGTAAAAACAGTAAAGCGAGAAATGACTGACCAGCAACAAGGCGGCGCTTTGATGGCACGACAAGCCGGTGAAGTGGTGACCGGACGCCGATCACTCGTTCGAAGCACACACCGACAACCAGCCTGAAATAACAATCAGAGCAGATCGTTTTCGAGTGACATCACTTACTGAGTTGTGAGTTTAGAGAAACAGGCAAGATTGTTCGTAAAATCAAGTGCGTAATATCTTCTTAGGCACGCAGCACCCTCAGTCCTCGCATCAAGTCGTTTCCATCAGCAGTGTTTCGCTTTACCCTTATCACAACTGGGAAAATGGCTGGCGGCGCGCCAAACCTACCGCACCGGCACACCCCATCTTTCACAGCAGAAAAGACAGTAATCATTTCCGGACCAGTTATCCCAGATCTCACCAACATTAGTGCCGATTCGCATAATGCCCTCAGTGCCAGGGGGCAGCCCCGTATGCACTTTTAAAGACTAACATTCACCATTCCCACTCCGTTGATTGAGGAAATCATGTTCCGATGCGCTATGGCGTCTGCCTCACTATATCCGCTTCCATTGCGGATTCTCGCGCATCTCATATTGAACGGACAGAAGGCCCTGTACACAAAATGAAAGCACTACCGGAACCGAACACTAGAATTTTGGCAACTACAATCGTCTCTTTTCTGGGTCTACTTACTCCACTTCCAACTGAAACGTGCTGGACAGGACACATGCATTGGTGGGGATTTTTTAGTCGACTCTACGCGACCGCCCCTCCCCTTAGCACAATGTGAAGCAAGGAAAAGCGTGAGGCAATACGACCTCCCCCATCCTAAGCAATTCTCAGATTTCTCCAATTTCCCTGCCTTTTTCCAAATTTCTCGAGAACTTTTCCTACTCCCAGCAATTTTGGTGTCAAGCGGAGGGTGGGGGGGGGGAGGGGAGGGAAGGGGTAGGGGGTATATTAGTACGCATGGAACAGGAAAAATCACAAAAAGTAGCCATCGGATCTACTACGCAAAACCTAGATACGACCGCCCCCCCCTTTCAACAAGAACCAAATACGAGCGCTCCCCCTTTTACAACTTCAGTGAGGGCTAGAAAAATCAATTTATCGAAAATGAATTTTTCCCAAGCCCAAATACGACGCACGCCCTTTCTGGCGTCCAATACAACCTTCCCTGACTACCCTGTGGATTCCCACACCAACGATGTGCCCCTGGTGCTTGGAGTCAAGAGGCAATTTACTTTACACAGATTACTAACAGTTCATTGACATAAAGGGGCCAGCCGATGTACAAATCAGCGCTTTTATGTCAGAATAACCTAATCTAACTATCTGATCCCTGTTTTGGTAAGAATGAATAGGCAATTTTAGGCGATATTTCGAATGTGATAGAATTCTTTCGGAAATACGCCAGGACAGGCAGAGTCATAGAGACCCCTGTAGAAAGTGTCTGAGTGTAAAGTCTTGGTGTAAAAGAACCTCATGAAATTGAACATTTACATCAGGCTGCTAGCCACGATCTAAGAGGGCTGGTTTCCACCTCAGTCATAACTATGGTATCAGATCGACTGCTGAAGACTGGATTCTTTCACCACCGCTAGATTTTGGAATGGTCCTGTCAGAAAGGGTAGCATTCCAGGCCAAGAAAGGCCAGAAGGGCTCACACAGCGGGAGCAGTAAAGCAAAGTGGGGACGCCAGTGAGAAGGATGACTGAGGCGGGAAAATTAAGGAAATGACTCCCAGATCTCACAGTGCTGTCCACACAGAGTGTGCATTAAGCTTCATGTTGTGTGTTCCCACTTTGCCTTCCAGCGAGACATTCTTGGAGACATTCTACATTCTTGGAGACATTCTATTTAAGGAAAGGAAGACATTCTACATTCTTGGAGACATTCTATTTAAGGAAAGCTCCTGATTGTCTTATTCTGTTGATGTCCTCGGAGTGCAATTTTCCGACGGCTTGAGCACAAACGAAATTGGATTCTGACACGCGGAACCGCACAAATGATCTATAGTGCGTACAAACTGCCATCAACATGTCTGAAGAAAAATGCCCGAAATTCAAGAGAACAGCCCCGAAAATTTTAATGTGTAATGGAAGACGTTCCAATGATAATGCATTGCGAAAAAAGCCTAATTCGTACACATAGGGGACAGATGTACTACCAGTTACTCCTGACTCTACTTTTATTATCATTACAGTTTTCCCAGTATGGTCCAGAAAACATCCAGCACACTGCTATTCCTATCAGCTGTCATTGTTTAGTAACTGCTCTTTAAGAGCGCGTTCAGACTTCGCGATCGCGCGATCCGGATCGCGTGATTTGGATCGCGCTACTGTGGGTGAAATTACACCGGGAGGGGATCATGTTAGTTCATGTTTATTTCCTGTTCTTTTTTCCTTTTCCTTCTTTCTTCCTTTGTGTACATAACGCCCTCCTAATTTTAAGGAACGTTTCGAAATATCTTTGAGTTATTTATTATTTCCTATGTAAAATAGTACTAAATATACAATATGCTAATTATTATACTGAATTTTGCATCTGAGTACGTTCAAGCGGAGTATTGAACATCTTGTTCCAAAAGTAAGACACGCAGAACTTTCAACAGCGGGTGATGTTGTTTCTCTCCCTTCCCCCGATTTTGCCAGTCCTCCAGATATTCACTTTACTTTTGTCACATTGTGTTTGCTTTGTTTGTTCTGCCATCCTCCAGGTCTATACACAACCTTTCCTTTCGACGGTTTCTGCAAACGTCAGTATTGCGAATATGAACACGGAATAAAAGACATCAAAAAAGGTCGAACTACTTTTATATCGTTTTTGGAACTGCCTATTGGAGGCAGGATACAGCATCGTGATGTGAGAAATGGTGATATCAGTACGACTCCCCAGAACTTTGTTGTTGTTGTTTGTTGAGTTGAGTTGAACACGAACGAACATGACCCCTCCCGGTGTAATTTCACCCACAGTAGCGCGATCGCGCGATCCAAATCACGCGATCCGGATCGCGCGATCGCGAAGTCTGAACGCGCTCTAGCCGCATCCCGCCGAATCCGAAATCTATCACAAGAATGCTGAGTTATGGGCAAAAGTCGGACCACGGACGGGATTCGAACCCGCATCTTCTGCTTTCCGTGCAGCTGCGTTCCCTATTACGCTACCGAGGCCACTTTTTGCACCCACTCAGGCTAAATGGCTATTTGTGCCGTTGCCTTCAACGCTCGACATAACAATTCTGTATTTTGCGAATAATCTTTGAAAACGCTCATTGCGATATTAAACAGTAATTATCAATGAAATAAGCAAAACTCTTAATATAGATGAAATCGTCAATGAAACCTCCAGTACATACCATATGGATACGGCCGATGTCCAGTTGGCGAACGCAAACAGATGAATTTTTGATCGGAGGTAAGGATAACGAAAGAACAGATTGAGGGCGAAATAGTCGAAATGAGCCATTGAATGGGGAATCATCAATATCAGAAGGCAGACGTCGCAAACTGCCAAACACGTAAGAAAAATGTTCGCTCTGAAAAACTCTTCATATCATTCTGAAAGGATAAAAATTTCAAAATTTTCCGCCGTCGAACTACCCTCTGGATGCGGAACGCATTAGCTGTGGCTGCTCTAAACCTTAAATCTGCAGAGCCAGCGGCCATGCCGGAGATACAGTGCTTTCATACCCTCTAAAGCCGAATCCTGGTACTCCTTTATCGTCCGGAGGATGGAAGTATTTGTTGGCTTGGGCGGCAGCCGATCCACCATTTGGACACCTGGACTGCGCGCATGGCAAGCGTGCCACTAGCCACTACACCATCTCTACCTCGTGTCATTTATGTACTCTGCAAAGTGTCCGAAGGGCTTTTCAGGCTACTGGTGGTTGAATAACGGCCAACATTGCAGCAAGGAAACTCATAATGCTCCCACACCGGCCAAAAAACCAGGTGTTCTTAGCCATTCTACAGGTCTCAATTTGATGAGATCTGTAAATACCTGTGAAGCTACGAAATGGCACTTCGATTACACGGTTACAAGAATTTGCAGGTTTCCACAAGGTGACTTGTGCAAGCTTTTCTCAGTGCCCCCACCAAATCGAAATGCGCCCGAGTACCGAAATTTCCATTGAACCTCAACATGAGACGTCAAGGACTACGCAGTGACAAGGAGTTCGGACTTTACTGACACCCCAAATGTGCTCCTTCCACATTTTCTGGAAACCTTTTTCATAGCTCTAAAGGCACGCTAAATGCATAAGCTCACCTGGACATGAGATCGTTGCTAATTAAAACCATAATGGTCAGCGTATTCCCAACGAGACCGAAAGCACATAGTGGAGGAAAAACGACAGTGTTGAAGAAGTGTTCCAGCTCTGATCCGGACAATCGGAGCTGATCGTCCGAAAAGCATATTTCAGCTGGTTCCATTAGCCTGAAAGGGAGGCGATCAATGGTTCTTCTGGGGGTAAACAAGTGAACAATTTCGGCATGCGAATTTGCAAGGAAGTTTTTGAGCAAATTTGTGCAAAAGCAACGAATAATTAGCAACGAACAAATGATCGAACATACTGCAGAAATGTAATCCTACGGAGGAGGCACAGCTAATGGTAAGTTTGAAACGAAGTAAACAAAACTTGGATGAACCACTGAAGGCGTAGATCTGGCAAAAAGGCTGAAATAAACCCCTCTGGCACTTAGATTTGCAGTAGAGCTGCTTCAGAGCCAAGTTTGGATTGAGCATTCTGTATTTATTCGCCTATTCCGTTCCACGCTAATCTCATGGGCGGCGTCAGCCCTGACATGGCATCTTCTTCTTGGTCGCAGCCCTCTTCCCTGAAACGGCTGAGAAGGGAAGTCGCAGGTGAGGAAGGCACAAAGCAGAACATCTGATATGAAGAATTTTCCTCAGCAGATGTAGTCAGGTCACCAATCTAAAACTTTCTACCTCTCCCACAGTACGTGAGGAGGAGGAGCGCACCGGAGCGCACTCACCACAAGCCGAAGGATAGTCACTCGCGCAAGCTGTCTGTGTTATCTAGATACCACATGAGCCGCTGGTCCAGTTCCTATAAGCACAGTATGACGCGCTGCGTTCGTTCTGTGTGGGAAACGGAGTTGCCATCTCGCTCGTTTCCCAACACGTCTTTCTGTTCTCTCCATCGCTCTGTCTGGTCCCTCGCCTCGCGTAACATGTCTCGCTTTTTTAAATACGCGTCTAGTCTCGAAGCCTTGTTTGGCGTATCTCTGACTGTTCTGTCTTCCCTTTCCTCCACTGGTAAGTTATTTACGAACCCATATTTGGGCTCTAAAGCCCACAAATTGTAAGTGGAGTGTGCTTCTAAAAAGATGAGCACTTCAGAGTGAACTGCTCTCTTCCTCAGGCGTGAAGTTTAACGATATTCTGATGCATGGGGTTGAATCTTTTTTTTTGCTGGGGAGGTACACTGATTTTGGCACCATAATAAAACAATTCAAATACTGCCATTGGCATTTTCTAAATCTCAGTGACGGATATACCAGCAGTAGAACTTCTACCAGCCTTTATAAGAACTTTTGGGACCGGCTGATGCACCGAAAACCTTCTGCGTTTTCCTCTGGAATGGTTAGCCCTTGAGAAGCTTCCGAAGAAGAAAGTCTTGCCTGAGCGCTGTCGATCCCACGAGTCTTGATTAGCCTTTCCTTAATATTGTTAACACTGTCAGTCAAATACCGATCGATTTCCCAAACACCCTCAGATTAATTCGTTGGTGTGGCCTTTGCAGGACCGCAAAGGGACGAGGAGGGATGAACAGGGACTCGGAGGGACTTTTCTGTGCCCCTCCAAATTCCTTGTTTATTCAGTGTGATACACCAAAACACCTCAATCATTATGAGATGCATCAACATGCACGCAACTGAGCATCCCTTGTCAATTGTTCCTGTGCTTCTGGACACTGCGAGGCAACAACATGATGCTGTTTGGCATGCAATCCTTTGCCCAGACGTTTTCTGTTGACGAAACGTTTTTCGAGGTCTGATGAGGATAGGAGAAACGTTTGGCACAATCCACTGCTGACTTTTTGAAGTTCAAGGGGGAACTTCCGGCTTGACTCAATTTAGTACTCAGGATAGCTTCATCCCTCCAGTGCATTCTAGTGCAATTTAGTGATGATTGAACGGTCTTATTCGGCCCTTAAACACCTTGGAAAGACATCGTTTGACAACGTACACCACTGGGTAGTTTTACCCCTTGGACAAGAAATCACAGTCATTGTTCATGAAAGAACTTTCGCACAACTTCGATTGAAGCTGGACTGACGCTCCCTTCTGCCAGGGTCTCGACGAAAGAAGCACAGGGACATAAACATAGAAGCGGAGAGTCAGTACGGAAGCACGCACCCTTAGCCACACTACCAACCACGTCATTGGAAACGCCCCTTTTTGCCCTCTGACATGGACTCCACATGAACTGTGGCTTCACGGGGCTAGTTAAGCTGCCCCGCTGCTTGCTGCACTGGCATTGGCTAGCCTCGGTAGGCCAACCATACACAAAATCCATGTCAGAGAGCTAAAAGGGGCGTTTCCAAGTATTCACTAGTTCGGCAGAGGGCGTATTCCTTCACTCGACTTCATGCACCTTATTCCTGACCATACCTCTCTAGAGACCACTGTAGTGCATACCCCAACGCCCTAGTTGGAACCTTCCCGATGAAGCTGTTCTGTACGCTTGCAGTTGATGACCTCCTGCTGTTAGTGTAGGTGACATCAGGCCTACTTTCTTAGAGTAGGACGGATATACACCTTGTAGGACATGGGTAGAACGCAAGAGTCCCAGGACAGGAGAACGCAAGGGTTTCCCCTGTACGAGGTGTAATACTCACAAGCGGTCCGCGAAAAATTCCGTCGGTAACACGGCAATCAGTCTAGCCGCTTGATGGTAGTGTTCT